ATAGTGCGTATGCGGGTCGGTGTATGCGGGTCATGTTGGCTGTAGTGCGTCGTATTTCTCTGTTGGCTGAGCGCTCTGCGCTGCAGTGGTGTCACTCGACCAGTGTGTAATGTCGCGGGCATGGTCACGGTTTGTGAGTCCCTGCTTGGGGGCATGCAAGTTGTAGCTGTGTGTCTGGTGGGGTTTGGCTCTGCTGGTGTGGTCTGCAAGTAGTGTCCTGCAGGTGTGGTTTCTGGGTGGGTGGTCTTTAGTGTCAGGGCATGCGTCGACCCTTGATCTCTCGTTTCTCTCCGGTCATATGGTTGTGAGGGGAGTGTGGGTCCTGTGTGCTCGGGGCGTGGTCTCTGTGCGTCCTATCACTTCGGCGTGTCAGTGTGGCTGCCCCTACTATGGTGTGTTGGGTCTCCGCCGCTATAGTGGCGTCAGTGTTATAGGCCATAGCAGGGGCCGCTCTGCGGCTAGGCGAGCGTGTGTTGCAGTGTGCGGCCTATGCGGCGGGCTGGGTCCCAACTTTCCCTCTGGGGTCCGATAGGGGTGGTCGTGTGTAGGTCAACCTATGGGCTGTCGCTTAGTCTTCCTTAGATTAGTCGTCTGGGGTCTTTTTCTCCCCCCCCCTCCTCCCCTTCCCCCCTTCCTCGTATGTCCCCCCTCTCCCTCCCTGGTGCCTTTAGGCGGTGTCTTGGGGTATTCGTCCCCTGTCCTCCCATCCCCCTCTGCCTTACGTTCTGCCACCTGTCCCCTGCCTTCCCCCCTCCCCTGTTACCTTTCCATGTGTCAATCCCCCCCCGATAAGCCCACCTCTCCCCCCGCGTGTATGCCAGTCATACCTCCCCCCCCTCAGCAAGGGACGGAGTATATTCACAGGGGGCGGAGGGGGGGAGGGCGAACCACACAGCGCAGGTGGTAAGCAAAGATGTACAGAGGGTATCTTTCCCGGTTTGCCACTGAGTGCACTTCGGGATAGAGTAAACATTGACATTACCTAGCCGACAGGCTTTAACTGACAATAAACTGTGCAGAGTATGAAAGTGGGTAGGCAGTCAGGAGTAGGCTTGATTTCACAAGTAGGCCAGCGTATCTAAACACTGGCTGGTTGGTTATGGTTTGCATTGAGTCCCTTGAGGGAGTGCGTGTTGTCACAGGGCCACTGGTGTAGAGCAATAAGGGTAAGAGCCTTGCCTTAGGGGAAATCCCAATGGGGCCCCGTAATAGAGCATCTGGCTCAGGACCTCGTTCAGTGGGGGAAACGTTCCGTCTTCAGCTCAGATTCACATGGGGTGCCCTTCTAGCTCCTCTCCCTATTGGTATGCTGGCTATTTTGGCTCGGGTGTTACACCGTTTGTGGCTCCCTGTTGAATGGCTCGAACTTTAAGACCAGCAGTTCACAGTTCTTATGAATCAGTCCTGCTTTAGCAGTGCCTGCGTAGAGGCTAGACCCCGTATCCCTCCCCAAGTGTCCTGAGTAAGCCCCCCCGTGGCTCTGCACGTGCAAAGTGATGTGCCGTAGTATGGATCCCCCGTGTTTGGAAGTCCCCATGTCGCATGGTGCGCTGCGGTACTGTGGCCCCGTATCCCCGTCCCCCACCCCAGCTGTTGCCTAAGTGGCTAGTATGTGTTCATGTGTCCCCCCAAGCAGTACTCACGGTTTTGTCCATTCCTCTCGGCTGCAAGCAGGTCCCCGACTCATGAGTCCTGCTTCTCCGAGTGACAGTCCATTAGTGCTCCTGCTCGCGCCTTGCCGGGCCCGGATTCCAGTCCCTGCGGCGTTGTTGCTGGGGTCTTTGGGGACCTTGGTCTGGCCTGCGTGGTAGTTGTGGTCCTGGCGGAGGTTGGAGAAACGACCTTGCCAGCCAGTCGGGAACTTGAAGCAGCGGGAGGCCCATGGCTCGGAGGAAACCTGGGAGGTCTTCTGGTCTCCTTACCACCAGTTGATCTGGGCCGTGTCTGGCTGATAGGGAAAATGGGTAGCCCCACCTGTACGGTATTCCTGCCTGTTGTAGAGCGGATGTTACTGGGCGTAGGGCCCTTCTGGCCTGCAAGGTGTACCTTGATAAATCTTGGTATATTGATACGTTTTGGCTTTCAAAGCGGATGGTTCCCATGCGGCGGGCCGTGCGCAGTATATCCTCCTTCAATTGGTAGTTTTCTAGGCAGCATATGATATCCCTAGGTTGTTCTTCCGGTGCCGGTACCGGCCGCAGTGCCCTGTGCGCCCTGACTATGCAGAGTCTGGGCAATTGTTGGCCCCCCAGTACCTGGGTAAACAAGCGCAGCAGTGCGTCTGGTTCGTGTTCTGTTGGGCCTCCTTCCCTCATCCCGCGGATCCGCAAGTTCAGCCTGCGGCCGCGGTTGTCCAGATCGTCGATCCAGGTGGTGAGGTTAGCAGTGTCTGCTTCTTGATTAGCTACGGCCAAATTCGTTTGCTCCAGGTCAGTGCGTAGTGACCTGGTCTCAGACTCTGCCACTGACATACGTGCTTCCATATTAGCCAGGTCAGCACGGAGTTGAGCCACCTCCTCCCTCACCACGCGGCCCAGACGGTCAGATAAGGCCTCAAAGTCTGCCTTGGTGAGCAGATTTGGGAGTATGGCCTTCCACTCACCCTCCTGTGGAAGCTGTGACTCCGACATGTTCGACGGTACCGGCGACATCCTGGCCGGCGTGGAGGGGAAGGAATCCAGTTCCTGGCTTGCGGCCTCCTCCTCCCGTTGCGGTGAATGGGCGCGGGTTGCGGCCTGGAGGTAGGAGCGTATAGAGTGCTCCCCTTCGCGGCCCGAGGGTCTCGGGGTGCCGGTGGGGTCCGACTGCTTCCTTGTGCGACCCATATCAGGTATGTGAACGGGCTGAGTGCGTGCGGGTATGCGTTGTTAAGGCGGGCGCCACGAGGAGCTCTGGTGTTAGGCGTCCATCTTCCTCGGCCGCCGGACACGCCCCGCTCTACAGATTGTAAGTGTATCTCCTCTTCTTTTTCTTCCACCCATTTTTATCAGACATACTGCACTATATACCTATTGTACTGTTTCTTTTTGACTCATTACATATTTACTAATACTTGAGAATTTTTTAAGGTGCTACTCCCTTCTCTTATTGCATATACCTTTCTTGGACCGGAAGAGAAGGACTTTAAGTTGGGTTGTTTGGGCTGCCTTCTACATTCAAATAAAAGTGCTATAAACCAACCACCTCTATATTTTTTAAAATTTGACTATGTTTATTGACATTTTTCATATATTCAACATCGTCCATAACGAGAACGAAGAGGGGAGGAAGAGGTGAGGGGTACAGAAAGGAAAAGAAGGGGGAGGAGATGGGGGGGGTCCAACAGTAATCACATTTTATGTTCAACAGTATTCACATTTTATAGCATAATGTACATTATCAGAGTCATTTTACACCGTACACGTCCGGCGTATCATAGTTTCCCACCAGTGGTAGGGCATGACGGTCACGCCTAATAACTAATACATATATCGCAGCACATAAACATAAACATAAAAGGTGGCTATTGCCGTAACCAATATATTTGCTTAATTGTAATTTAACGTTTAGCGTTAATGCTAATTTTAATTTGATCCCCTGACATTGGTACTTTTTTGTACCGATTGTCCCGATCTCCATGTGTCCCATATCTCCCATGATTTTGTCGTGATACGAGATGGAGGCCACAGTTTGCTATAAGCTCCCTCGAATGATCTTTGATCTTGTATTTCTGAGAGCAATTTGGATAGGGTCGGGCAGAGCGTGGTTTTCCATGCTCTCGCAATCTCTCTATGTGCAGGACTTGGTATATGTGTGTTAATTTTTTGTCTAGCCATGGTCTGGCGTGAAAGGTAGGGATGCAGTAAGGCAGGGCCGCTATCGGCGTGGCTGGTGATAGTGTGGACTTCGAGCTGAGTGTGGCTCTATGCCTGTCCCATATTTGAAGTCGCAATGTAATGAGGTCAGAAGAGTGGGTCAGAGGTGGTCTATGTTTCTTAGGCAGCCACGTGAGATCGGCTAGTGCATAGGGGTTTAGGAGGTTCTTCTCTATCCCTACCCTTTGGGGAGGTGGTTTAGCTATATAGTGAGTTAGAAGCGGGGTTAGTATGGATGCGTGATATAGTTCTGTTGATTTTTTGGTGAAAAGGAGCCCTAAATAGGTGATGTCCTGTCTCCTCCAATCAAAGGGGTATGTCTCTTGTAGGACTTTCAGGTCAGTCTCCGGTATGCCTACACTAAGTGCCTGCGTTTTAGAGGTGTTAAGGGAATAGTAGGTTTGTTCCCCATATGCTTGAATGAGTTTCATAATGTCGGGCAATGATGAGGTCGGGTGTGATATATATAAGAGTATGTCGTCAGCAAAAGCACTGATCCTCGTCTCGTTTGGGCCAATTCTAAGACCAGTTATGTCAGGGTGGGTTCGTATTGAGGCCAAGAGTGGTTCCAGGGCCAATACGTATAATAGAGGGGATAGAGGGCACCCTTGGTGAGTCGCATTTGTAAGTTCAAATGGGTGGGAGAGGAATCCCGCCTGGAGAACTCTGGCTGAGGGAGCCTGTTTCAGAGGCCTGTTGGTAGACTTTCAAGATCTGGGGTGCAAGTGTGTCCATAAACGTTTTATAGTACGTGCTAGTGAACCCATCTGCCCCTGGGGATTTTGCCGGAGGCAGGGCTCTGATGGCCTCTGTGACCTCAGTTAGTGTTATGGGTTGTTGGAGTTCTATAGCTTGGATTTGCGGCAAATTTATTTGTGTTAGATATTTAGAAATGCCTTCATCTGTCGGGTTGTGTATCCCTGGTGTATGTCGTAAGTTGTATAGTTTCGCATAAAACTGTGCAAAGGCCTGCGTTATGTCAGTAAGATTGAGTATTTTATTGCCTTTCTCGTTTAGGAATTTGGCTATTTTCTGTGAATTGCATTTGTTGCATAGTCTAGCTGCCAGGAGTTTCGTGGCTTTGCCGCTACGATGATAGGTGTCAGCTTTTAATTTGTGTAGGAGTCGTCTGGAAGAGTTCGTGGTTCAGGCTGGAGTCCACTCTGGAGACATCCTGGGTATCTTCGCCTTATTCTTGTCCTCTTTCTCAGTCGCTGCTAGGCCCCAACTCCTGAATTTCTCCTTGCCTGTTGCTAATGAGTCCACAGCATGTAGTGTGTCCTGGTAGTGAATCAATAGTTTTGCCGGGTACCCCCAGCAGTATGCAATTCCTTGAGAGCACAATGCGGTCATGAGAGGTGTCAGGCTTTTTCGGAACTGTAGAGTTGCTGCCGACAAGTCCGTAAACAGCTTTAGGTCTTGGTAAGGCTCAGGCATGCCTGGGGACCTTTCTTTAGCATGATAGAAGTGGACCCTAACGATGACATCTCTCGCGGCCGAGTTGGGGAGATGTTTGGGTCTCCTCAGTCTGTGTGCTCGATCGATGATTAGCTGGTCAGGAGGAGTCTCAGGTGTCAGTACCTGGAACATATCTAGCAGATAGTTGTTCAGGGCCAGGTTTAGGACTGATTCTGAGATGCCTCGGATGCGCAGGTTGTTGCGTCTCGATCGGTCTTATCAGCCATTTTCAGTGCGTGGACGTGTAGAGTGGAATCTATTTCTTGCAGTTTGTCTGCAAGGCTATTATGGGCCTCCACAAATTCGTCCATCCGCTTTTCGGCCTGTGCAGTGCGTTGGCCTAATTCAAGTATCTCCTTCCAGAGGTCTGCTTTGAGGGTTGCAATTGCGCAGCCATATTGCTCTGTATGTTGTCCGTGAGCTCTGCCAGCATCTTTTTCATGCTTACTATTGTGAGCAGGTCGTCCTCTGGTCCCACATCCGAGGATCCTGGAGACGGAGGGGGCTCCCCTTCCGAGCGCGTGTCGCCGCCATCTTTGGTCGGGCTGTGGCCTTTCCGCGGCTGATTTGTGGATGATTTATCCAGGAAGAAGGATGCTCTGTCTGCTTTTGCTGCTTTAGCTTTTTGTCTCTGGGACATCTTTGCAGTATCGTGAGGTAGATTATAGTTTGTTTCGCTAGTTAGACCGGTTATTTTCAGCCCTTTGACACTCATTCTGCAGGAGCCTCGTTAGAAAGCGTCCATTCAGTCCGGTGTCAGGCCACGCCCCCCTCCACCTCTATATTTTGAACAATATTGGCTTGCGTTAGTTTCTTTGCGATTGTGGGATCTTTAGCTAACATGGATCAGTTATTCATGTGATGTCTCTGTATTGATTTGATTTGGCATGGAAGATCTGCACAAAAATAGCTTAATCATTCACTAACTAAGGGGAGGTGAGTCTGTAACAACTGGAATTATGATCAGTATTTTTACCAGAAAATAAGTATTTACAAGATGGTCCTGTTTTATAAGATTTCTGTATGTGCTTGTGTCATTCTTGCATTTTTTATCTTGATAAAGGCCCATGCTGTGGAATGAAATGTTAATTTAATTATTGAAATATTTTGCAGTAGCAAGTGACTTTTAGGCCTGCCTGTAAGAGTAAGATTTTAATTTTCAGCCCTGACTTTATACCAGTCACTCAGTGGCATCTCCAGCATTCATATTTAGGGGGGGCACATGGGGGGCCAGTGACAGAAGTGGGGGGGGAGCCAATTATAAAATGCATGTGTGTGTGTATATTATATATACATATATACATATATCTCGAAATATCTTGACCACCTAAACAAATCTGCAACCACAGGACTTGCCCCTGCAACCCGATTTCAATTACAAATAGAAAACCAAAACATATAAAACTAAAAAAAATACTATTCTAAATTTCATCCCCTCATACCTCTTAAATTGATGACAAGGTTGACCAGATAAGCAGCTGTCAGGGCTTTTTCGTCTTGTCTGTGCTGTGGCTTCAAAGCCAGGGCCCATTTTAATGATAAATTTAAACTGCACGTTAAATCATCATTATGCAAGGCCGCCCATACCACTGCACTATCATTATTTCTGAATAGGGAAATTGCATTTTAAACACAATCGAAAAATACACTGTTCATATACTGGACACAAATAAAAAAGGACATAGGGCTTTATATTTGCTCCTCATTCATAACCTGCCTGCTGTTTGGGGACAGAGAAGGCACTGCCACACTGTCGTCAAGCTGTTTGGAGACATAGATCGCACCGGCAAACTGAGGACAGAGATGACACAAGACTCAACGTCTCTCAGTCCCATTTGCATTCCCCCATCAATTAGGGTAGTGTGGTCTGCATCTGACTAAATGACTTGAAATGTTTAAAAATGGATGATGGGCATTTCCAAAACATAAATCTCACCTCCACTGTTTTGTTTTGTTTTTAATAATGCTCATCATCCATTTTTTAACTCTCCAAGTCATTCAGTCACATTAGCATTATTCACCCCAACCCATTCAGTCCACACTCATTTCAACAATTGATGTAGGTGTGGGATAATGTTAATGTGACTGAATGACTTGGAGAGTTAAAAATTAGGCATGTGCATGGGAAAAATTTTCGGTTCGGTTCGGCATTCCGAAATTCGGGACTTCGGCACTTTGCAATTTTGGTAACTTCGACACTTCGGAACTTCTATTGCAGCCGCTTGGTAGATAACTCCCTAATTCTCACGGTATTAGGGAGTTATCTGCCAAAAGGCTGAAAGACCTAAATTGGTCTTTCAGCCAAATTTACTAATAATAAGTAAAGATTACTTAGTATTAGTAAATTGTGCCCCTAGGGGCATCTCTAGTAAAAAGTGAGCAGCATGTAGCTGCTCACTGTTAAAAAAAAAAAAACCCTGAGCGGCGGGTGTAGGCCCTAAAGTAAAATAATGGGGGGGGACCTAATTTCTTCCCCCCCTGGTCCCCACCCCTGATCGGTGGGTGGGGGCCCTAAATACTAATTAGGTGGGGACCTCCCTGGCCCCCACCCCTGAGCGGTGGGTGGGGGCCCTAAATTAGCATGAGGTGGCGTACCTAATGTCCTCCCCCCTGGCCCCCACCCCTGAGCGGTGGGTGGGGGCCCTAAAAACTAATTAGGGGGGGGACCTAATGTCCTCCCCCTGGCCCCCATCCCTGAGCGGTGGGTGGGGGCCCTAAATTAGAATGAGGGGGGAGGACCTGATGTCCTCCCCCTGACCCCCACCCCTGAGCGGTGGGTGGGGGCCCTAAATACTAATTGGGGGGACCTAATGTCCTCCCCCCTGGCTCCCACCCCTGAGCGGTGGGTGGGAGCTCTAAATACTAATTAGGGGGGGGAACCTAATGTCCTCCCCCCTGGCCCCCACCCCTTAGCGGTGGGTGGGGGCCCTAAATACTAATTCGGGGGGACCTGATGTCCTCCCCCCTGACCCCCACCCCTGAGCGGTGGGTGGGGGCCCTAAATACTAATTAGGAGGGGAACCTTCCCCCTGGCCCCCACCCCTGAGCGGTGCGTGGGGGCCCTAAATACTAATTGGGGGGGACCTAATGTCCTCCCCCTGGCCCCCACCCCTGAGCGGTGGGTGGGGGCCTGTCCATTATCCTATGTATTTGTCCTGTCCTAGTTTCTATGTATCTATACAGTGACCTGTCCATTATCCTATGTATTTGTCCTGTCCTAGTTTCTATGTATCTATACAGTGACCTGTACATTATCCTATGTATCTATACAGTGACCTGTCCATTATCCTATGTATTTGTCCTGTCCTAGTTTCTATGTATCTATACAGTGACCTGTCCATTATCCTATGTATTTGTCCTGTCCTAGTTTCTATGTATCTATACAGTGACCTGTCCATTATCCTATGTATCTATACAGTGACCTGTCCATTATCCTATGTATCTATACAGTGACCTGTCCATTATCCTATGTATTTGTCCTGTCCTAGTTTCTATGTATCTATACAGTGACCTGTCCAATATCCAATGTATCTATACAGTGACCTGTCCAATATCCTATGTATCTATACAGTGACCTGTCCTATATCCTATGTATCTATACATTGACTTGTCCATTATCATATGTATCTATACAGTGACCTGTCCATTATCCTATGTATCTATACAGTGACCTGTCCAATATCCTATGTATCTATACAGTGACCTGTCCAATATCCTATGTATCTATACATTGACTTGTCCATTATCCTATGTATCTATACACTGACCTGTCCATTATCGTATGTATCTATACAGTGACCTGTCCATTATACTATGTATTTGTCCTGTCCTAGTTTCTATGTATCTATACAGTGACCTGTCCATTATCCTATGTATTTGTCCTGTCCTAGTTTCTATGTATCTATACAGTGACCTGTCCATTATCCTATGTATTTGTCCTGTCCTAGTTTCTATGTATCTATATAGTGACCTGTCCTATATCCAATGTATCTATACAGTGACCTGTCCAATATCCTATGTATCTATACAGTGACCTGTCCATTATCCTATCTATACAGTGATCTGTCCAATATCCTATGTATCTATACAGTGACCTGTCCTATATCCTATGTATCTATACAGTGACCTGTCCAATATCCTATATATCTATACAGTGACCTGTCCTATATCCTATGTATCTATACAGTGACCTGTCCAATATCCTATGTATTTGTCCTGTCCTAGTTTCTATGTATCTATACAGTGACCTGTCCAATATCCTATGTATTTGTCCTGTCCTAGTTTCTATGTATCTATACAGTGACCTGTCCAATATCCTATGTATTTGTCCTGTCCTAGTTTCTATGTATCTATAGTGACCTGTCCTATATCCTATGTATCTATACAGTGACCTGTCCATTATCCTATGTATCTATACAGTGACCTGTCCATTATCCTATGTATCTATACAGTGACCTGTCCATTATCCTATGTATTTGTCCTGTCCTAGTTTCTATGTATCTATAGTGACCTGTCCTATATCCTATGTATCTATACATTGACCTGTCCAATATCCTATGTATCTATACAGTGACCTGTCCAATATCCTATATATCTATACAGTGACCCGAGATATCTGTGAGGTGCAGTGACTAGTATACCGGTCACACCAGCATCCCACGGTCACAATGGCCACTTGGCAAGCGGGAGCCCCATAATGAAGGGGTTAATCCCTCGCTCGGTACAGGGGGGTGTGTGTAAGCCCTTCCCACAGCCTGACCCGGAAGCTTTTTAACTATCATTTCTCTCCGCCTGGCCGCAGCCTGGGAGATGGCGGAGTGGAAGGAAGAGGTGGAGGTGTTGGTACAGCGGGTGGTAAAGGACATCACTGGCGCTTTCCGCAGGAACCCCAACATGTGAGTTCGATGGAGCGTGACGTCACACGAGAGGCCGATGTGACGTCACTGTGCTGCCAGGCAGCTTCCAACTTGGGTAAAGTTCGAGCTGCAGAATGTGGCAGATCACATGAGACAACATTCTAATTCTGTCCTGTAAACACGTAGATCGCATTATTGTCTTTCTGAGAGGGTTATCGGTTCTATATTTAGGATCTGGGTATCAATAATACATTCTGAAAATGTCATTTTTAGGCAGTGTGCTGGTAAGGTACTGTTACAGAAAATAAATTATTTATATATAGCTCCGATTAGCAGCTTTGTTTTCTTCTAATATATTTTTCCTTTTTAAGCGATGGCAGGTCTGGCTTCCAGCCAGCTACACTCACTACCCCATGAGGAATTCAGGCTAATTAACATTCAGTACATGGGGCTATGCATAAAAAGTGAAGTGTTCACTTTATAGACGGTTTGGATTGGTGCTTTTTCTATTTATTCCCATATGTGCACCAAAATAATATCTGGTGCACATCTTTTTCCTGTTGTATCTTGGTTCTCGTGTGTAAAAATATATATATATTTCAGCATATTCCATTTAGCTACACTTATTGATTAATATATTTTATGCAACTTTCTACATGTATTTTCATATACTTTTTGCAAAATGTAGCTGTGGAGCAAGTCATTATTTCTGACAATATAATTAATTTATTATTTATATAGCTCCATCAGATTCTGTACAATGGGTAGGGCCTGTGCATTTTTC